AGAAGCCAGACGCTCCAGGGCACACTTGGGTTTGATCCCAAACACGGACACAGACATGGTGCCACCAACCAGAGGGGTGAAGAGGATCCACTGTGGTGGGGTGAGAGACAGAGCAGCAGCCACATAACAAAACCAAGACAGCGAGGAACACCCACACCCCAGCCACTGACTCCACCTGGGCCACACCCCCACCCCTAACCGGAAGCTGAGCAGCTTTTTTAAATGTTGCTTTCAGAAACGTGGTGAGTTTAAAGAAATCTGCCAGGTGCAGACAGAGCCCATCATGAATCAACAAGTGCAAAGAGAGGCCGAAGTCTGCATTTCACGGATGAGTAACAACAGAGAATTAATAAAACATTTAACCTGATTCTCACCCTGCAGAAAGGAAGGGCCTGCCTGTGTGTGGGTAATTCAATGAACCCAGTCCCTAGATGGCAGTGGGCACCCCAGGGGAGAGACCGATGTTACAAATTTAGCTTAAGACCATGACCAGAATAGGCAAAATATGGCTTTTTATCCCTTGCAAATAACTTCTGTGAAGTTTCAACTTGACCACTCTCTCTCTTTACCCATCCTTTACATGAGCACATTGTTTCAGTACATTCGTTTACACTACAGAGTTCTAAGTCATGTCTAGTTGACTATTGTATATTTACATAGCTAATGTAATTATCACTAATCACATAATTACTGGAAATGTGCATAATTGCCTGAGCCAAACATATAATTACAATGTATAGCAACATTATGAATCCCATTTTTAAAATCCACATTTTGGGGCTATTTAAAGATATTTATTAGAAGCGATTGTGGATCACCTAGATGGCCAGCCTTGACACTGTTTCTTTAGAAAGTGCTCCAAGTGCTTTAAAAAAACACAAGTAATGATTTTATAATGCTTTTTAAAAACAAATCGCATATAAATAAAAGACAAAATGATTTGGGACTGAGTCTGTAGACTATGCTCTCCCCATAGGGAAAGAAAGGCCAATCCTTCAGCTTTGTGGGCTCCCACAGGTGTGAGCCAGGCAGTGAAGACCCCCTACCTCCCTGCAGGGGGCGCTCAGCTGCCCGGACGCACCCCCCCACTTCAGCCACCTTGGCACCTTAGACATCTCTGCTTCTTGCATATCCTAGGACCACGAATTACCTTTCTCTGGAACGTTCCACTGAGACGTACTTTCACAATGACCAGCTCATCCCACTGAGAAGACCAGAACAACATGGGGGAAAAGTCTTCTCCCACCTCATCCACGTAGCCTTTTCTCTCTGACTTTTCCTGTCCTCCTGGGTGACAAAGTTGATGTAGAAAGATTCCCAGAATTTATTACTATTTATGTGTTTAACAGACAGCTCTTGGTCTCAATTTTCCCCACATCCATCCCACCAGCCCATCTTTCTCAGCTCTTTTTATTCTCTGGGCTCATGAGAACATCCCAGAGGTAAGGAATGTTGAATATAATTGTATATTTAAAAGGCAGTCCTTGGGGCCACCCGGTGGCACAGCAGTTAAGTGCGCACGTTCTGCTTCTCGGGAGCCTGGGGTTTGCCAGTTCGGATCCTGGCTGCGGACATGGCACTGCTTGGCAAAAAGCCATGCTGTGGTAGGCGTCCCATGTATAAATTAGAGAAAGATGGGCATGGATGTTAGCTCAGGGCTAGTCTTCCTCAGCGAAAAGAGGAGGATTGGCAGTAGTTAGCTCAGGGCTAATCTTTCTCAAAAAAAATAAAACGGCAGTCCTATCATTTTTTTTTCCTGCAGAGTAAAGGAAAGTCCTCTCCTGAGTTATGCTATGAAAAGGACTTACCACAGCTCAGCTGACATAATCCTCAGTACCATTTTTCTAAGGATGTAAGACATTTGAACAAAATGAAGTAAAAATGAAATATGTCCTTTTTTAAAATTACATTCTCAACAGCCACAGGAAAAGATGGTGTCTAGTGACTTATTCTATTCTACCACACAGTAAGATATTCTAACAAAAGTCATCAGCAAAGCGATTGTGGGATATTACAAACTATGGACTCTGGAAAGTGCTTTTCTGGGTTACTTTTGCAATGCTGAGTGATTGCAAGCTCTCTTCTCTGACCAACAAATATTTGGGGCAAAGCAAACCAGCTCTGCCCTGATACAGTAACGTATTACAACTCGAAAGGGTGCAGTTCACGAAGGCAATGTGTCAATTATGCCAGCAAACTAAACAGAGGGAAAAAGCCAGACCTAAACTATACATCAAAAAGAGAAGACTGCAGTCTGCTTCCGCCCAGTCTGTGTCAGCAGAGCCCGCGCCACAGCAATTCTTACACCAGAGCACTCTAGGACTGTTTGATACTAGGCGTCAAGAAACAAGAGAACAAATGATAAGTATCAAAATAGAAGGGCTGCTTTAAAAAAAAAAATTAAAATCTGGCTTTTAAGTCAGCTTGAAAGACCATTATTCCAAGCGATTTGGATGGAGTCCCAAAGACTGCGGCTAATGAGAAGCGAAGCTAAACTCTGTACTGTGCTTAAATCTCAAGCAGAGACATCCCGTTGAGGGGTGAAGGTGCACCCGGAGGCAGGATCTGGGCATGCAAAGAAGGATGGAGCTCCACTCCGTGTTCCCTCAGCTTCGACTTGGAGGACACAGAGGGGAGAGCAGCTAGGAGCAGGCCACAAGGGGACTGGGGCTCGGGAGGAGTAGGTCCTGAGGGCTGATGTGGAAGGTGTTGAGGAGGGGGCTGGACAGGCCTTGGAAGGCAGGCAGTGATTCTGGAAGCAGTAACTTTGCAGGGATCATTCCACCAGACTCGCTCAGCTGGAGCAAAAGGGTTCATTCAAGAGAGGGAGGGGGAGAGAGTAGGACCTTGGTGTACGTCAGGAGGCTCGTCTGGCATGGGCGTCCACAGCCAGGGTTGGCACCGAGGCTGTGCAACAGGCAGGAGGGAAGAATCTGCAAAATTAGTGTTCCCAAAGACCAAGGGCAAGAAGACAAAGTTTCAACAAGCCCAGAGTGGCTACAGCAGGGCAGGGTGGCTTCACACCTTAAATCATAAAACCAAACAGTGAGAGACAGAGGACGTCCTTGGGGTTGGGTGCGGGTGGTGGGAAGGGGAGAGTGGTGTGCTGGGTTCTCTGAGCTTCCAAGCAGAACATTCGAAAACAGTTAGTTCAGGTTTATAAAAGGAAGACTGGTGACAGTCCTAAGCCAGGGATGTAGATGCGTGAGGCCTTCAGGAGGAAGAAACAGTGGAATCCACAGAGCTGAGCTGAGGGAAAGTCCAAATAAAGAAAAGCAGACTGCCAGAGTCTCTGGGCGCAAACCACCGCCAGCTCCATACCCGCTGCAGCACCTGGGAACTGGGTACCACCCGTCCTGACCTACAGAAGGTGCTCAAGCAGCTTATAAACACAAGGAGCACCCACGGAGCATCCTGGAACAGCTGTTATACTTAACGGGGCACCAAACAAGTATCTGGGATCGTGGATTATGAGCTACATCCGAGTAAGCTCATGTCGTGAGTCTATCTGGATAATGGCTACTGAGAAATTAAAATATACAGAACGGCAACTGTCCCAGGAGCACCATTCATGGGTTCGAGGGTTGAAGGGGTGGGATTAGCCCCACCGGTGTTCCTGGTACTAACCTTGAAGAGTGATCCACTAGGATGAGCTATGAACAGATGCGTGGGAGAAACAGGAATCTGCAGTCTATATTAGGTACATAATACTGTAATGAGGTTCGAGTCCCTGGGGGTGATTATAGCGTTGTGGTTCCACAGGAAACGGTCCCAGTTGGAGATACATGCCATAGGCAATTATGAGTAAATTGCTGCATCTACAACTGTCTTTCAGATGGTTCTGGAAAAGTCCATCCATCCATCCTTCCATCCACACACACATGCATATCTCTATCTACATCTTTATAAAAAGAAAGCAAACGTTATCACAGTTGTAATTAACAGCTGAAGAGAATATCAGTTGGTTGTACTATTCTATCAATCTTTCTGTAGGTTTGAAAAATCTTAAACACTAAAAATAAAAATCCTTAAATCTCAAACCCCTCACCCTGCATCAGAGCCCTAGGGAGGTGGGGGGACAGCCAGCGCTCTTGTAGCACGGTGCTCTCGTGAGGCGTGCAACCACACAGTAGAACTCATCTTTGACGCCTCCACTCCACGCGGCTTGAGCCACACTGACTTAAAGCACAACCAATTCCATATGGACGGCTTGTGCCACCCTCCCTGGCAGCTCCCCCATGACCTCTGACAAGCCCTGCAGCGAAGTCACCAGTGGCCACGCTGAGCCAGCCTGGCCTGGCAGCACGGAGGGCCAGCAGCTCGGACACCGGGTGGCAAGGGGTGCTAACTTGAGACCCAGGTCCATGCGCTCGGGAGCTCTCCCCACTCCCTAATTAGGAGAGGAGGGGGCTTAGTCAACAGTTCAGAGTTTCGTCCCCAGGTTTCCATTAGGTTTTAATTATGTTTATTTTTCCTTTCATGAATAAACCACTTCCAGACATTTTCAAAGATACCAGCGATGAGAACACATCACGAGGGGCCACGCTGGGCTAGTCAGGAATATCTTGGAATTCATCGCTGTAAATATCTTAATTCAAAACAGATAAGGTCCGGAAACCTCAGGAAATAAAAAAAGATGGTCCTAATATACAGCGTCTTTCATATGCAAAATGATCTTAGGTATGTGGAAGAACCCGACTTCAGGGCCTCCTTCCCCTCCCCAGCTCTCCAGCTACACCCCACTCTACCCCAGGCCTCGCTCGTCCTGCACGAAGGGCAGGCCTACTGCCCACGGGCCAATGACACCGGCAGACGGGGCTTGATGTTGAGAGGTGCTAGGGTCGGGGGGCCTCTGGCTGGAGGATGGGGGTGTGATACACACAGTCTGACCAGAGAACCAGTGCCCAAAAGGTGAGCTGGTCCACAGGTGAGCGGGTCAAGGATTCGAGGGCGGGACCACGCGTCTTTGGTTAAAAACCGCCAATCACGCTGGCTCTTACCTTCACAAATTCTGTCCAATCGCTGTCGCTTGACTTTGTGCTTATCCACAAGGGCCATTCTTTATCGAACTTTGCAACTCTCTGATTCAAAAGGCAAAGCGGTCCTCTAAGAACTTAGGGGAACTCGCAGGAGTCTGCGGGCATTACGCCACTATGAACCCTGAAACAAGGAGAAAAGAATCCTTACTCTCTGGACACCCTGCGGACATAGGACAACAGGTCAGTCAGGACTTCGCTGCCACTTTCTACAAGGGGACCTGCCATCGGCGCCTGCTCTCCTCTCTCAAACACTGGGCAAGGGAGTTGCTCCAGGTCCCTTGTACCAATCTCCTGCCTTCTGTCATGTGACAGGAAGCAAGCAACACGCAGAAGACAAGTGTCTTTTCTTTCTGAAAGCTGTAAACAGCAGCATCTGGACCTCTTGCTTTTAACTTCAGGGCTGTAAACACCAATTACCGAACAACCTGAACTGTAACAATTTGTACTCCAATGCCAGAGACCAAGCGACAGCCAGTGGGGCCTGCCCTGGATCTCTGGGAACCAGAGAGGCAGAGCCACAAGGGGGCAGGCTCATCGACCAACGTGGACTAGCTGGGGAGACGGGCCCAGACGCATGGGCACCAAGATGCAGGCACCCAGCTGTGGCCATGCGACAGACTTTCTCAAGGCCTTCTGCCCGGCGGTTTAGGAAACTTTCCAAAACTGCCCTTCAGGGGTCACAAGTCAGAGCCACTGCTGAACACAACACAGGCCGCTTATCCCAGTGCATGAGAATGGGAGTGGAAGACATGCACCACCTAACCAAGGCTTGCCCAGCGCCAGCTCCCCGAGCCTTCCTCCCATCCGGAGGGAGCCACAGACAGCATCGGCCAGGGCAGTGTCCAGGCTGCCGGACTTGATGCTGGGCAGTGGCAATCGTGCCGCGCCTGTCCACGCGTGCCCACGGTCCTGCAGGAAGAGGTGAGGCAGATGGAGGAAGCAGAAGAGGAAGGCCCTCGTATTTGGGTTGGGGTGTGAGGAACACTCCAGAGGGAGACCGGAATGCCATCTGAGGAGCTGCTGCCCAGCCTGCTTGTGGAGGAAGCATGGGGCTCTACTGGGAGGCTCTGACTCCCATTTCCTGCTCATCCAATGAACAGTTGAGGCCACAAATCATCATCTGTAACCTCAACATCCCAGCTTTTGGCTCATTGCAGCAGTCTTATTTTAACAACACCACGATATACACACACAAAAAGTTGTCCTCAGTTATCCAGCAAATGAGGGGAAATAGGAGACAAAAAAAACGCTTCGGCGTTAATAATGAGGGTTATTATGTATGGTCATCAATTATGCAAAACGCTGGGAGTTCCTTTATCAAAGGTCAGAATGCAGGTCTGACTATGAAAAGGTAGGCGACTTCCCGGTAGTTAACGGCTAATTTCCCAGCAATGAGGCTGAAAAAGCACCCCAAAGATTTATGGCAACAATTAGGTGATTTTTTTTTTTATTTTAAAAGGAGCTAGGAAAAAGCACAATTTCTAATCACATAGATTAATTAATGCAACATCCAAGAGATACCAAACTCTTTCCAGACCTGGGATGATCATCTCGGGCCAGTGAGGAGACCAAGGTCATCTAGAGCAAGCTGGGTCAGGACGTGGAAGGTGCGAGAAGACGCACATGTAGTGGACACATTTGCAAAATTCTGGTCTCACTCTTGCTGGGCTTTATGAAAGGCGACCACGAAAGGCGAAGGGAGTTCCCATAACTCAGGCAAACCTGAGATGAGAGTCCTGGTGGGACCACGAGGCTCTGGACCCGAGCATTTGTGCCCATGAGAGACACTCAGAGGCCGGCCCAGAGCTCGGCCGGTGCTTGGGTCTCGAGCTCTGATCATCAACTGTGTGGTCTGGCCCCTCCTCGACTCTGGCGAGATGACAGACCCCACGTTAGCTGAGGGACGAGAGAATTAATTAGTCACTATTTGTGAAGTGCCGTGGAGATGAAAAATGACAGCAGCATCATCCGAGGCAAGACGGGTCTCACCCTCCTCCTCCAATTCCCAAGTGAGGAGTAATCATTCTTTTTGCTTTTCCTTTGAATTTTAATTTGTATAATTAGATGGCTTCCTGAAAAATTGATAAGTAGAATCTCTATTATGCAATCAAAGAGAGATGAGGCATCAGCTTATACAAATTGTCTGCACCCTTTATTTAAAAAAAAAAAAAAGCCACTGACTTCCAAATCTGGCCTTTCTTTGGGGGGGGCGACTCTTTATGGCTGGTCCTGGTCCTTCTGTGGGGACCCTTCAGCTCTGGCACCCACCCAGTTTCAGACCAGCCAAGTTGACCGGGAATTCAGACTGGCAAGGCGACCAGGCTGAGTCTGCTCTGGGTTTCACGGCAGTGATGACCACTGGCTCCTGCAGCCTCCATCCCCTCCCCCGGGATCTCTTCTGAAGCAGGAACTTATGAAATGTGACATTTCCCTCCTTCGCCCTCCCAAGGAGCAAGCTATTTATGAGGACTTAATTAACATAACCCTCCTCCTGATGAGAGGGACAGGCCCTCCTCAGAGCTGAGCTGTGAGCAGCGGGTCTCCGGCTGGTGTCCACACTGATAATGCCAGCACCCCGCCATCCACACTGGGCCTGGGCTCCCCTGGTGGTGCCTGCTAGGAAAGCGAACCTCCGCCTTTACTTTATACCAGGCTCCACTCATAAATCATGAATATTTTTGCCCCTGAATTTATCACCACTATCATCAGTTGACACCATCTAGTCAATGTTTAACAACAAATACATAAAGGTACAGACAGAGAAGAAAAACAAGGAAGAGGATGTGTTCCCCTGTCCCACTTTTGCTAAAACTGTAAAAATTCAAATCATGGTGGTGGTGTTGTGGGTGGAAAGAATTCTAGAACCGCTTGCAGAATGACCTTGGACAAGCTGTTCCGGAGGCAGGGTCTTGTTTGTAGAATGGGGATAATGTTCCTGATGTTCCAAAGTGGCTGTGAGGATCAGATGAGAACACGCATGAAACCATCTGGTGCCAAAGAGCAGGCCTCCGAGAACCGCCCGCACCTTCCTCTGGTGAGATATCCCCTGGACTATCACTCCCCTGGCTTAGGCTGGGAGGTCAGTCTCAGCAAAACACAAGAGAGATCAAAAGTCAGGTCTTTTCCTAAGTAGAAATTGTGGTGCACTGATGCCAAACCTTACAAGAAAAAACAATGCCTTCTCCCCAGAAAGAGAGAGACTGAAATCACAGACAAACCACAGAAAGGTCTACCTAACACTTTATTAGCTTGGTGATGAGATGGGGGTTGAAAGTGTGGTGTCAGTGGCTTCACCTTATTGCAGAAGGGAAAGCTGCCACTTGGAGACTCCTGGCTACACTAGAAAGCAGCTATAGGTGTGGAAGGTGTGTTCCATGTGGGTTTCAAAGAGAAACGTGAGGTTGAAGAAAACAGGGAATAGAAAGGAGGAAGAACGCTTCACTCACAACCACTCACTTGGATATCAAACACAAAACAGAAGCACCCAAGAGCCAGGGCAAGAGAAACAGGAGGTTCCCCTCATCCATCAGGGTCTAAACCCTGGGCAGATTAATATCACTAAATGACCATTAGCAACCCCAGCTGCTGGGACCAAACCACTATAGTGTGCAGAAACCCAGGCCTCAGTAATTTACATTCTTAAGATCTCAAATAAGTTCCTAAGGTGCCCTCAGTTTCTCTATGCCCGCTCCTAGTCTTCACAAAGATCAGGCAAATGAAGGAATTTATACAAAGTAATTGATGTCTTCAATGATGTCTTTCAAAATGAAAGTTCTTCTAAAACCAGTTAAACACGATGATTGCTTTCAATTGTTTTAAGGAAATCTACTTAAACATTGTGATAATAAAGAGAACCCAAGTTTTGCAATACGCTAACGAATTAACATTGTTGTAGTGAAGCAAGGACTGCCGGGAGTTCTCTGAACCAATGGAGCCCTTGAATGCATTTCGTCGTCACACCTGCAGGGTGGTGGGTTTTCCGTTTGAGAGAGTGAGGTGATCCAAGGCAAGTAAAAAGGCCCCTTGCAGCCGGGCAGCACTGGCGCACAATGTCTCAGCCTTTGCGGGCCTGGGATGCCTAAAGGGTTGACATCACTCCTCGGGTCCCCTTCACCACAGCCTACAAGGCTCTCCTGATCCGTCGAAGGCTCATTTACCAACCTGTGAGGGACCTAGCAGGGCGGCACCCATCCAGGCTAAGGTGACACTAAGCACCTGCTGACATGGGCAAGGCCCCTGCAGCTGGGGTGCCATCCAGTGTACCTGCAGGGTCAGCCCATTTAACTGCCTTGAGGATGCCGGCCCACCGTGATGACTGCCCAGGAGACCCTCTCTGGCTCTTCACCTAATCCCAAATAAAGCCCCAGGTCTTCAAGCTATCCCCAAAGAACCGGTTCCAAAATCTTCAGAAGCCGAACACACTCCTTCTTTAGGAAGATACCTGGGCAGAATCCCCTGAAGAGGTGATCTGGGTTGTGCTTTGTAAACTATATCTGCAGAACCAGTTAAAATCCAGCTATAATAAAGGTTCTACAGGGGCCAGGGGTCAGTGGGAAAAACACTGGCTTAGCCTTTAGTTAAATGGTTGACAGTATGACAACTAACAACAAAACTATGAAAACTGCACTTTAAGAAAGGAAATGAAACTTCTGGGGAAGATCAGTCATGGGAAATGAGCTTACTGAAGTCAAGTTTGTATACGTCTAAGCTACTGCTGTTCCCTGATTATTTACTCAGCAGCTTTTGGGTAAATTTAGTTTTTTTTGGAAAGATCAAACATAAGGTTCAGAAATCAAATACATAAAAAGAAGCACAAGAAAGTCTGCCACTCCCACAGCCCGCAGCCCATGCTCTAGAGGTAACCAGCAGGACCCTGCAATAAACAGTGAAGCTTCACTCTGGTTCCTGGGGCCAGATCTGTCCACTGTTCAGCAAGACTAGGGAGCAGAGCTGCTCATTTTTCCCCAGGGAATGCCCAGCAGCCCAACCCCAGGGTGACAAGGTCACTCCATGGTCACATGCCCTCAATCTGTTTCAGGGGCCCCACCCTCTGATCCCCAGGGGCTGACGCAACATGGGCAGGCTTCCCAGACAGAAGTGCACAGACGGATCAAGAGTGGT